CTGCTCTGTCTTTGTCTCTGCATTTCTTTTAGATAGGATAAATTTTAGAAAGTTTTGTGTGTGGGTTCATGTCCTTATGCCTCCACTCTGGGGTCCTCCCTGGCTACAGAAGGTGGCCTCTACAGATTCTGTGTCCCCAACTGTTAGGCATCTCAGTTAAAGTCACCCACATTTACTCCTGGGAGGTTTCCCCATCCCAGATCTCTGGAACTTCCTATAGATTCCTACCATCTCCACACACCCCCAGCAGCTGCAGATTTCCATTCATTCTCCTGGTCCTCTGGGCCTCTCTCCTGTCTCTACCTATACCTGATCCTGGCCCCCCATTCTCTTCCTCATTCAGTTTCACATCCAGATCCCTTACTCCCTCTGCCTTCAATGAATATGTTGTCCCCTTCTAAGTGAGATTCAAGCATTCTCTCTTGGGCCTCCCTTCTTATTTAACTTCTTTGGGTTTGTGGAGTGTATCATGGGTATTCTGTACTTTTTTACTAATATCCACTTATCAGTGAGTTCATACAGTGCATGTCTTTTGGGTCTGGTTTACCTCACTCAGGATGATATTTTCTAGTTTCACCCATTTGCCTACAAAATTCATGAGATCCTTATTTTTAATAACTGTATCATATTTCATTGTGTAAATCAACCACATTTTCTGTATCCAGTCTTAGGTTGAGGGATGCCTCTTTTGTTTCCAATTTCTGGCTATTATGAATAAGTCTGCTATGAACACAGTGGAGCACATAGTCTTGTGATATGGTGGAGCATCTTTTGAGTATATGCCCAGGAATGGTATAGCTGGGTCTTCAGGTAGAACTATTTCCAGTTTGTTGAGGAATCTCCAGATTGGTTTCCAGAGTGACTGTACAAGTTTGTAATCCCACCAGCAATGGAAGAGTGTTCCCCTTTCTCTACATCCTCACCACCATGTGCTGTTGGCATGAGCTTTTGATCTTAGCCATTCTAATTGGTGTAATGAATCTCAGAGTCATTTTGATTTGCATTTCTGATGACTAAGGATGGTGAACATTTCTTTAAGTGTTTCTTGTCCATTAGAGATTCCTCTGTTGAGAATCCTCTGTTAAGCTTTGTACTCCATTTTTTAATTGGACTATTTGGTTTGTTGGAGTCTAACTTCTTAAGTTCGTTGTATATTTTGGTTATTAGCCCTCTGTCAGATATAGGGTTCATGAAGATATTTCCCAATCTGTATGATGCCCATTTGATTTATTGGCAGTGTTCTTTGCCTTGCAGAAGCTTTTCAATTTCATGAGGTTCCATTTATCTATTGTTGATCTTGGAGTGTTGAGCCATTGGTGTTCTGTTCAGGAAATTGTCTTCAGTATCAATGAGCTCAAGTTCTCTCTTCTATGAGATTTAGTGTATCCCATTTAATGTTGAGGTCCTTGGCCCATTTTGACTTGAGTTTTGTGCAGGATGATAACTATGGATCTATTTGCATTCTTCTACATGCAGATATCCAGACCAGAACCATTTGTTGAAGATGCTTTTTTTTTTCATTGTATGTTTTAGCTTCTTTGTCAAAGATCAAATGACCATAGGTGTGTGGGTTTATTTCAGGGACTTCAATTCAGTTCCATTGATCACCCTGCCTGTTTCTGTACCAATACCATTCAATTTTTATTACTATTGCTCTGTAGTAGAGCTTGAGGTCTAAGATGGTGATTTCTCCAGAAATTTATTCACTGTTCACAATTGCTTTTGCTATTCTGAAGTTGAGAATTGCTCTTTCAAGGTTTATTTTTAAAATGTGTTGGAGTTTTGATGGGAATTGCATTAAATCTGTAGATTGCTTTTGGTAAAATGGCCATTTTCACTATGTAAGTCCTACCAACTTATGAGCATAGGAAATCTTCCTAGCTCCTGATATCTTCTTCAGTTGCTTTCTTCAGAGACTTGAAGTTCTTGTCATAAAGATCTTTCACTAGATTGATTAGAGTTACACCAAGATATTTTATATTACTTGTGGCTATTGTGTTTTCCTAATTTATTTCTTGGCCCATTCATCATTGTATAAAGGATTACTGATTTGAGTTAATTTTATATCCAGCCACAAATTATCAGCTGTGGGAGTTCTCTGGTAGAATTCTGGGGTTCACATATGTATACTATCATATAATTTGAAAATGGTAATACCTTGACTTCCTCCTTTCCAATTTGTACCCCCTTGATCTCCTTTTGTTGTCTTATTACTCTAGCTAGAAATTCAAGTACTATATTGAATAGATAGGGAATTGGCAGCCTTGTCTTGTCTCTGATTTTAGTGGGATGGCTTCAAGCTTCTCTCTATTTAATTTGATGCTGGCTATTGGCTTGCAGTTTATTGCTTTTATTGTGTTTGGATATGTGCCATGATCTCTCTTAGCCTTTTAACCTGAAGAAGTGTTGGATTTTGTTGTAGGCTTTCTCAACATCTAATAAGATGATCATGTGACTTTCCCACTCTGGGTTTCTTTATATGTTGAATGGAATATGTTGATGGATTTTCATATATTCATCCTCAGAATGAAGCCTATTTGATCACAGTGAATGGTGTCTTGATGTGTTCTTTGATTCAATTTGTTAGAATTTTACACAGTATTTTTATGTTGATATTCATAAGCAAAATTAGTCTGAAGTTCTCTCTCTTTGTTGAATCTGTGTGGTTTAGGTAACTGTGGCCTAAAAGTATAAATTATGTAGTGTTGTTCTGTTTCTATTTTATGGAATAGTTTGAGGAGCACTGGTATTAGCTCTTCTTTGAAAGTCTGGTAGAATTCTGCACTAAAATCATCTAGCTCTGGGCTTTTTTTCTTTTTCTTTCTTTCTTTTTTTTTCATTTTCTCTTTTTGTTGGGGGACTTTTAATGACTGCTTCTATTTCCTTAAGGGTTGTGAGACTGCTGAGTTTACCTGAGCCATATTTTCTTCTAGCAGTTTGAATATTTTAGGTTTAGTGTTTAAGATTTTGATTCATTTGGAGTTAGTCTTGTGCAGCATGATAGACACAGATCTAATTTTCTTCTAAACATGGACAGCCAGTTTCTCCAACACCATTCGTTGAAAGTGCTTTCTTTTCTCCAGCTTGAGTTTTTCAATTTTTGTTAAATATTAAGTAGCTGAAGTTTCATATACTCAGTTTGGATTTTCAATTTTGCTTCAGTGGTGTACATGTCTGCTTTTGTCTCAATGCCTTATTGATTTGTTACTTTGGCTCGGTAATGTATCTTAAGATTAGGATTGTTTTCCCTTCAACACTTTTTCTTTCTGTTCGGGTTATTTTTTTCTATCTAGAACCTTTTGTGGCATCATATAAAATTTAGGGTAGTCCTCTTTCTGTGACAAATAAGGTGAAGATTTTAATTGAGATTGTATTGAATCTTACATAGATTGATAGAATGGGTATTTTCATGATATTAAATCTACCCATCTTTGAGCATGTGATGTCTTTCCATCAATTACTGTTCATGGTGGGGAAGAGTCAATGACAATAACAAACACAGTGATTTCTCAGAAATATTGAGGTGAACTTGAATTAGAAGACACTTGTATGTTTTTCTTGTCTCCTTGCCATGGTTCAGAGATAGCATCACTAAGGTACTTATTACAGAAAATATGCTTCACAGATTTTTAGAGCTAATAGCATCCATAATTACATAGTAAAATGAGGAAGGATTTGGGAAAATGAAAATAGACAGAGTAAAGTATGAATGAGAAACATAGTACATGTTTTATGTGGATGAATAATAGTAAATAAAATATCTCACAGTAGTTCACCAAGGCATTGACAGGGGTGTATTCTGCTCAAGCAATTGTCTACAGCATGCCCAAGGAGAATCTCAGCTCCAAGCTCCTGTGGCTCTTTTTAGCTTCCATCTACTCATCTGGTTATGCTCTAGTCATCAAGCCACCCACTGCTTGCCTTTCTGTACATTGGGCTGATAATGTTTCCACCTGCTGTTTTTTAGTGTCCATGTCTAGAGGACATGGCTGCTACCTTTGTCCTTGATCTAGTGCAGGCAAGATGGTGAAACTTGGTGCCAGCTTGACTATTCCTTTGGTTATTCCTTTGGAAAGAAAAAATTCCAATAAGCTGATTTCTTTTTTCCTTTTTTCTTTCTATGCTAAAAGTAGAGTCTATTGTTCCTTCCTGGGGCTCTAGTCTTTGATTGAGTCTTTCAGAAGCAACTTTTGTTTCATCATCACACCCAGCAACTCCCTGAACCATGAATATACTTTTTAAATTTTATATTTCCAATGTAAGGAAGAGAACTTTCTTATCTACTGTATGAAAATAAAGCATGTTCATTACCAATGTGTAGGTAAATGCTATGGTTTTCATTATTGACATTATGGAACATATCTTCAGGATGAATTTGGAGATTTATATCAGAGGCCCATTTAGCTGTTACTTTTGAATTTGTGGTGATGTACAATGCTGTGGTTGGTGGAAGGAGAAACCCTTCACCTCGATGCAGCTAGGTACAAAAATAGAGGTAGGATTAGGCCATTGTTACAATAGGGCCTCCAATGACAAACCTTCAATCAACAACTTCCTTTCCTTTTTAAAAATATTTCTTTTTATTTTTCATTATTTATATGAATACACAAATATCTACCTGTTGAGTGCAGGTGCTCATGAATGCCAACAGAGGCTATTTGATCTCCTGAATCTGGAGTTACAGGCAGCTTTGAACCATGTAATATGGGTTCTGGGAACCAAATTCAGCACCTCTGCAAGAGTGTTACATGCTCTTATACTGAGCCATTTTCCCAAGCCCAAGATCTCTCCACTTAAAGGTTTTATCATGTCCAAGTCATACGATAGGTTAAAGGTCATCACCATTAAATGGATGTGTCATGTACAAGCAATAGCAACATCCAGTTATCTATGGATACAAAAATTATGTTTGTTAATGATCCAGTTCTATGAACAATATGCTTACTAGAATAGTAGGCAAAAATCAGAATTATAGCTTACACATATCTGATTTTCCTCAGACTCCCCACTCTGTATGCAGTGAAAGTTGTGGTCCTGGATTCAGAAAATCTGTCCTGGAAGGAAAAGTGGCCTGTTGTTTTGACTGCATCCCATGCCCAGAGAATGAAATTTCCAACGAGACAGGTAAGTGTGTGCTGTATGGAAAAATTCTCTACTTCTAATTAAGAATCCCTTTTTTATGAGGATTAAGGGCATCTGAACTCAAATGCTCACATTTACTGCAAACATTTGACATAATGAGCCATCTCCCTAGCCCGAGTTGTTTATTAATAAAAAAAAATGAATGTTAAGCAAAGTGTAGTAGTGCACACCTTCTGCATTCAGGAGGCAAACATAAGCAGATCTCGGAGTTTTACAACCAGCATGGTTTACATAACAAGTTCCAGGAGAGCCAGGGCTACATAATGAGAACTTCTTTTAAAAAATAATTTTACAACAAATAATTTGCCTTCCCACAGATGTCTTTGATTGCTATCCCAGGGCTTAGAGGACTTTCATCAGTGCTCCTCCCCATGTCTTCTGAGGTACAACACACAAAAAAATGACTAGGTGCTTTCACACTCACATTCACACGCTATCTCATTCAGGTTTCAGTACACAAAAGGTGATTGGCAGAAGTGATTTGAATGTGATATTTAAAATTCCTCTCCCCCCCTCCCCCCCCCCCCCCCCCCGCGGGGCCGGCTTGAAATGAAACAGACAAAGGATATTTTCAGATTTTTCATCACCCTGAAGTCAGAGCAAATTTTTCCCTAACGGAAGTTTCTCCAGATATCTCTGAATATAGTCAAAGGTGACAGATTTTCAAATATCTGTGGTGGAAGAGGGAAGAAGGACAAACATAATATGCCACCCTCATTCTTAGTATTCTCACACTTGTCTCCAGGCTTAAAACATAGGCAACTCTCCTCTTCCTCAGACTCAAGGAGGTATCTAAAATTATTTTTCATATGTTTTCAAAGGAACCACTTTTTATCTCATTCTGTGAGTCTTAATTCCTCACAGTGCTGAACTCCACAGGTTTAGCTGAGAAATGCTTCCCAGAACAAAGATTCCATTCTCTGCCAGGACCCCAACACAAGAACGAGGCCATATTGTATTTCAAAAGGCAGTTAGTCCAATTGCCAAAGTTCCTATAGTCTATAACAGTCTCAACACTGTTTAAAAGTCCAAAGTTCAAAGTCTCTTCTGAAACTCAAGGCAATCTCTTAATTATAACCCCCAGTAAAATATAAGTCAAAACATTGATCACATACTTCCAACATAAAATGACACAAAATATGCATTACCATTTCAAAAGGGAAGAAAAGGACCAAAGTAAAGAAATACTGGATCAGTGCAAGACCAAAAACCAGCAGAGCAAATCAAATTCTGCATCCCCATTTCTGATGCCAAAGCATTTTTCAGTACTCCAACTCCTTCCCGTTTTGTTGTCTGCTACACACTTGTCTTTCTTGGATTCATCCCACACCTGGCCAGCAGTGTTCCTCAGCAGATATCCCACAACTGTGGTATTTCCAATATCTTAGGGTCTCCAACACAATCAAGACTTCACCTTCACAGCTTCATTCAGGCCCTCTTTGGGCCTCAATTAAGGGACATCCCTAAAACAAGCCTAGTAATTTCCTTAGCTATGGAGGAAGATTCCACAGCCCCTTTCATGGCTTCTTGATACTAAATCCAGAACCATGTGGGTAAAACCACCACCACTCTGCTAACTGCCTGGGCTGGAACATGGCCCCTCATTCAACTACATCTTCATTTGCTTTCTGTTGTTAATGATTTCTTTCACTGCTTAAGCTTTTTCTTAATTTCTTTCCACAATTTGGAAGCTTAGCTGGGTGAGATCTTCCCCTGAGGTCACCACTTCCTTTATTTATTTAGCATCAGGCTTTTCTTAAAATGTATTATCTCCTTGAACATTGCTCTTAGCGCCATTATATTTTCTGGTGTTCATCACCTCCTCAAACCATACATTTTGGTTTTTTCCTTGCTCAGATTACTCCTTTTCACTATAGATCTGCGTAAGGGTGACCACGAACAACCACACAGCAGTCAATACTAGACTGCCTTGAAATCTCCTCTACCAGTGCCATTAATCTAAATTTCTTCAATTTAGCCTCACACAGATTATTATTTTTTGGACAAAGGCAGAAAGTAGCCAACTTCCGCTCCAAAATATCATGAGAATGGTCTCTAGGCCAGTTAGTAATATTCTTCTGCTGTGAAGCCTCTTGAGGCAGGCCATCATAACCTACATTGCTCTCTGCACGACTGTCTTCCATACTCCAACTAGGATGGTACCTTAAGGTCCACTTAAATCACCCAACCACTGTTCTGGTCCAAAATCCAAAACTCTTCTACATTCCATCAACAAACATGGTTAGCCCAGTCACAGCAATAGCTCACTCCTGTAATCAACTGCTGACGTCATCATTATTCTACTGCTGGGAGGATCCACAATGACATGACAACTCCTATAAAAGCATTTAGTTGGGGCTTGCTGAGTTTCAGAGCTTTAGTCCATCATCATCATAGTAAGAAGCCTGGTGGCACTCAGACAGACATGGTGCTGAAGAAATAGCTCAGAGTTCTACATCTGGGTCTGCAGGCAACAGGAAGAGAGCCACTGAGCCGAATTTTGGCTGTTGAAAGCCCAAAGCCTACCCCCAGTGACACACTTCCTCTGACAAGACCACACCTTCTAATCCTTCTCAAGTAACTGTCATTCACTGATGACTAGGTAACCAAACATATGATCCATGGGTGGCATTCTTATTCAAACCACCAAGTGGAAGTGGAAACAGAAGTCAACTGTGGGAGATCAGTTCTCTCTTTTCACCTTTTTGCAGGTCCAGGAATAACACTCAAGTTCTCAGGCTTGCAGAGCCAGTGCTTCTCCCAACTAAACAATCTTGCCAGTGCCTCCAATTGGATAATTTTGGTTAAAAACAAACTCCCTCCCCACTGGCACCCTTCAGCTTCTACCTAAGTATGTTGATGTACACTGAATTAGAGCTCAGGGCAGTTCCTATGGGTGTTTAGAATTTTCTGTGGACCCTTGCATTCTTCGTACATAGCATAGACTTTAGAAATGGGAAACCAAGTTTTCTACTTTCTCAAGCACAGTGGTGGTGCTGACAGTAGTAGTAGAGGGTCATGGGAGGTGGGGCGTGTGTGCATGTGCACGCATGCATGTATCACTCTTCACCTTCTTTTTTGAGACAGGATCTTTCACTGAAACTAGCTAATTTGGCTACACTAGATAGCTAACAAGCTTGAGAGACCTTCCTGTCTCTGCCAAACCAGTTCTGAGCTTATAGGTGCTTGGAGTTGCACTTGTACTCTTACATGGGTGCTGGGAATTGAACTCAAGTCCTCATACTTACATGACATACATTTTACTAAGACATTTTCTCAGCCCCCTCAGTGAATTTTGTCTAGGATCTACTCTCTCTTTGTCCCACTTTAATAAGTAACTTGACACAGCTGGCACCATGTCCCTTCTCAGCAGCTACTTCATACAGAACATCAGAATCTTCCAACAGTTTGCTTCTAGGGCCTGCCATTCAAAAATATTTTTAAAATTTGTTGTCTAGTAGTTTTATACATGGATCCTCCAATATCTCCCTCTCAGTTTCATGTCGTCTTTATTTTTTCTTTGGTCACTTTTGATTTTATAACCCACTAAGTACAATTAGTGCTGCTAAAACACACATCTACTAGAAAATGGTTGACTTACCAGGAACATCCCAGAAGGAAACTGACTTTCCTTCCCCCAAAGCCATAAACTCCTCTATAGCCTGAGCTAGAGTGGAGCTCATGAGCCTGTCCCTGGCCTATATGAAAATGTTAGCTGTCTTGATCTTATGCAAATCTTGTCAGGCAAACATATCCGCTATGAGTTAATGGGTGCAGCTGCCATTCCTCTTCACCATTTTGCACTCTTTCTACCTCCTCTTGAATGATGGCCTCTTAGCTTTGGGAGGAGGGATAAGATACACATATCCCATCCAAAACTTTCGTTTACTGGGGTTGTTTCTGGAGAGTTTCCCTTTCTCTTTGGCTTTTTACCCTAGAGTGGAGGGGAAGTGACATCTTCACTTCCTTAACATTTTGTTTGGTGGTCTATGTTAAGGTCAGCTGAATCTTTTGTAAATCTAACATTTACTATCTTTTAACAAGCCATAGGCTAAAGAAGAGAGAATTACAATGAGGAGATGGCTCGGCAAGTAAAGTACTTACACATAAGCATGGGAATTTTGGTAAATTTCTAACAACTGTGCACCTACCTTCTCACCTAGGGCTGCTGGCCATTGGCTGTCAAGGACAAAGGGTGGGCTGGGGGAGGGAGCAGGATCCAGAGGATGTGAGTACAGATGGACAGATTGACTTCTGGAATCAGCTTTAGTGAGACAGGTCAACTTTATTTGGGGTGAACATGGCTATATAGATCTTGGGGGGATGGGTAGGAAATTTAAAGGTGGATATACCTTAATGGCTAGGGTGGGAATGTCTCACTTATATGAAGGGGAATTCTAAGAGCCTGCCAGGCAGGTTCTTGTAAGAAAAGAGGAAGTTGAACCTATAATCTGGCCATAGGCTACGTGACCTTCCTCAGAGGTGTTTTGGGGTTACAGGCAGTAAGGGCTAAAAGGCAAGCTTTTCCAGATATGGACTGTACCCTTAATAGCAGGGTCTTCCAACAAACAATCACATAAAAAGTCAGATGTGGTGGTGGCCTGTGCCTATATTCCCAGCACTGGGAGGGGCAGAAATACAAATCCCTAGCACTCCCTGGCCAGCCAGACTGACCTAATCAGCACTCCCCAGAGAAACCACATGTTATAAAACAAAATAGATGGCTCATGAGGAATGTACCTTAAGTTGACCTCTGGGTGCCACATGTACAAATACAAGCATGCATACATATTCATGCACACATATGCACCAGCACAACTACAAATATTCACTTATACACACACAATATGAGGACTCCAAGATTGAAAATACCACTGCTCAAATATGGCAAATGTTATTTTGTTATTTTGCTAAATTGAGAGAGGGTGAGGGAGAGAGTCCATGTGAGTGGGAGTGCATGTACCATACTACACATGTGGAATTGGAGAGTCAGTCATCACCCTTCTATTTTGCTTGAGACCATGTCTCTTCACAGATGCATTAGCTAGGCTAGATGTCCCACAAGCTCCCAAGACAAATTCTGTCTCTGTCTCTCATCTTACCATAGGGGTGCACTGGGATTAGAGACCTTTGTGCTGCTACATCCAGCCTTTATCTGGGAATCCAAACTCACATCATCAGGCTTGTGCAGCAAGTGCATTTACCTGGTGAACCATCTGTCCCTCGCCCAGGAAATGCTTCATATGGAGGCAATATTGTAACTAAACTGAAGCTGTGTAGTATAAGTTCCTAAGTTTCTAGAAAGGGGAAAAATAATGGTATCAGAATCTTCAAACCAACATATAATTGAATTAGGAGGGAAATCATAACTTTGTCCATGTCACGATGCAGTAGTCACATTATTCCCTGCATAATGTTCTTTCATTTGATGTCTGAAGTAACAAAGGAAGGCTATCAGGCTAACCTACTTAAATAAGTGGGTGAAGAAGAGGGGATGTGAACAAAAGAATAATGAACATGATATAACAAAAATGCCCATTTTCACTAGATGTGGATCAATGTATGCCGTGTCTAGACCATCAATATGCGAACAAAGCACAAGACCACTGCCTCCAAAAATCTATGACCTTCCTGGATTATGAAGATCCCATGGGGATAGGTCTGTCCTGCATAGCCTTGTGCTTCTCTGCACTGTCATCTCTAGTTCTTGGCATCTTTCTGAAGCAGAAAAACACTCCCATTGTGAAGGCAAATAACCGCACTCTCAGCTACATCCTGCTTGTAGCCCTTAACTTCTGTTTTCTCTGCTCTTTTCTCTTCATTGGCCATCCCAACACAGCCACTTGCATCTTACAGCAGACCACATTTGGAGTGGTGTTCACTGTGGCTGTTTCCACTGTCTTGGCCAAAACTATTACTGTGGTTCTGGCCTTCAAGGTCACAGCTCCAGGAAGAAGAATCAGGTGGTTGTTGGTAACACGGGCACCTAACTTCATTGTTCCCATCTGCACCTTGATCCAAATTATCTTGTGTGGAGTCTGGTTGGGAAACTCTCCTCCCTTCATTGACACAGACACACACTCTGAACATGAACACATTATCATCATGTGCAACAAGGGTTCAGTCACTGCCTTCTACTGTGTGCTGGGATATCTGGGGGCTCTGGCCCTGGGAAGCTTCACCATGGCTTTCTTGGCCAGGAACCTACCTGACACTTTCAATGAAGCCAAGTTCCTGACATTCAGCATGCTGGTGTTCTGCAGTGTCTGGATCACCTTCCTCCCTGTCTACCACAGTACCAAGGGAAAGGTCATGGTGGCTGTGGAGGTCTTCTCCATCTTGGTCTCCAGTGCAGGACTTCTAGGCTGTATCTTTGCTCCCAAGTGCTACATCATTTTGTTAAGACCACAAAGGAACTCTATTCAGGGTCACAGGGACAAAATACATTATAGTTATAAGACTTAATCAATTTTTATTAATTTTTCAAGTTAGCACATTATTACATTTTCATACGTGTATTTTGTTCCTACTCATCCCCCTCACAAACTGATACCCCCATCCCCACTGTCTCCTCTTGTTCCTTACTCTTAAAACAATCTTTGTTTCTTATTCATATATATGTTTCATTACCCCTCATCTTTCCCAGCTCCCTCACTTTCTTCCCTCTCTTGGCTACTTTCTACTTTGATGTTATTGGGGAGAGAGAGAGAATTAATGCCAGTTGCCTATGGCATTTATACTTATAACCATGGATAAGTCACATAATTTAACAATTTCCAAATCCATAATTTTCCTCTTAAATGTCATGACTTTATTCATTTTTAAGGCTAAATAAATACCACTGTGAATACACTCCATATTCACTTTATCTATTCATCTGTTGATAGATACCTAGCATTCTTCCTTTTTTTAGCTACCATACAAGTACATTAACCATGAATGTGCAAATACCTCTGTAGATATCTTCTGGGTCTATATACCAAGAGTGGTATGGTTAGAGTCAATGGTGGTTCTAGTTTTAATTTTTTGAGTAACTTCTATGCTGTCTTATACAGTGGTTTTTTTTTAAACCCTACTAAATGTAACAAAAATGACAAAGGAAAAAAGATTAGGTGTTGGGTCAGCTTTCTGAGGTTTCAGACTTTGTGGAGACTGGCAAAGAGATCAGTGAACTTGAGGGGCTTACTTTCCCTAGGGGTCTAAGCTGCTGATAAAATTCACCACCACCACCACATCTCCAACATCTAAAAGAGACATAGAAACCAGAAGATGTGTAGTCTACAACACAAAACACAAGGAACATTGAAAAGGAAAGCAACATTCTGAAAAAGACAAAATATCAGATGAATATTTCAAAGTTTTCTTATTAAAAAAAATGATCAATGACCTGAAAGTGAATACTCAATGGGAAAATTAATCTAATGCAGGACCTGCAGAGAAAGTCATCAATATAAAAGAAAAGGGCAGCAAGAGAGATGAAAAAAATTCAGCAACATGAAAGAAAACTTAAGCAACGAAACTGAGAAGAGGAGAGACAGAAAGGTTGAAAATGAAAAAAACAAAACAAAACCAAAAAAGCATAGTGGAAGCATGGACAATGGACTCAAGAAAGCAAAAGAAAGACTATCAGGATGGAGATGGGATGAGAAATAATACATACAGACACCAATAAGCAAAAAGTAAATGATCATGACCACAATGTCCAAGGAAGACCAAACGTAAGAACCCACAGGACTAGTGAAGTAAACACCAAAGGTACAGGAAATCCATTCAACAACATTAAGGCAGAAAACTCCCCAAGTTCAGAAGAAGAAACAAACATTCAAACACAAGCGACATTCAGAACCTCAAATAGACATGACCAGGAAAGAACTTCTCCATAACATCTTATAGTCAAGATGTCAAAGATACAAAGCACAAAACCAGTATTAAATTGTCGTATAGGAAAAAAAAAAAAAAACACCAACTCACCTACAAAAGCAAAGCATCAGAGTACCATCATCAACCCTGAACCAAAAAGTCATGAAATGATGTATTTAAGTCTCAAAAGCAGAAAATTGCCAGGCAAGACTACTATGCAAGTCAAGTGGTCTTCTGAATTTGAAAAGAAATAAGGACATTTCAACATAAACACAACTGAAGGAGTTCCTGAGCACCAGGCCAGCACTGCAGAAGACACTAAAGGAATACTGTAAGTAACAGAAGAAATTTCAATCACAAGACCACACAGGAAAGAATGGATTTCATGAGCAGACTAGCTGAAGAGAGCTGGAAGGAGCACATTACAGTCAATAAAGTAAACCACATACTTAATGCAGGACAATATAAAGAACAAACAATAATCCAACCAACAAAAATGACAAAAATTGGTAGATACTTCTCAATAATAATCTGCGTGTAACACAATGAAGAGATGCAAACTGGTTGACTGGGTTAAACTAAAAGGAACTCTATGAAGAATGGCGGAAGCTCACCATGTGACAGAGGTGACTAAGAAGAGTATGGAGGACTAGCGTGAAATGACTCTGTATGGTATTTCAGTGAGGTCATGACATATTTGTCAATACCTACCAAATGTAAGGCACAAAATATGAACCCCAGTGTGGTATAATGGTGCACACATACAATTGCGGCATCCTGGAGGCTGTTGGGAGGGCATGCTGAAAACTAGCCTGGGCTACAGACAAAAATCCTGCATTAAATAAAAAAGAACAAGGAGGAAATTATGAACACTAATGGGAAATGTGGACTTTGGGTGAGGATGTGTCAGTGTGGATTGCACCCCGTACAGCACTGTGATAGAAAGATGCTGATGACGGGAGAGGCTTACACATGATAGGGGAAGGGAGCAATGAATCCTCTCAATGTTCTTATAAACTTCAAGCTCTAAGTAATTTTGAGACAGGGTTTCTTTGTATATCCCTGTCTGTCCTGGACCTAACTCTATAGACCACGCTGGCCTCAAACTCACAGAGATCCACCTGTATCTGCTTCCCAAGTCCTGGGGGAAAAGGCATGTACCCCCACCACCTAGAAACTAAATAATTCTTATAAAATGAAAATAAAATCTATTCATATATTTAAGGGAAAAAAAAAAACTAGATCCAACTCTATGCTATCTCCAAGAAACATACCTCACTGATAAAAATGAAAAGATGGAAAACATTCTATCAAGAGCATTAAAACCAAACATACCAAATGTTGAGGCTCCAACTTCATAAAACAAACATCAAATGGAAAAATTGATCCCTATATGATACTAGTTGGTGAATTCAATACTAAAATTTCATATAGACAGGTCATCCAAACTAAAAGTTAAAAAAGAAATAGCACAGAGGAAACGGACTTAGCATATATTCCATTCAATCAATACTAATAATCATATTTGGCTGGACACATTCTTCTTAGCAGGAAATGGCGCCACGCAGGTGAGCAAGTCTTTTCACTTCAATTAACTTCATCAAAATACTCCCTAGAGGCCCATCCCCCAGGTGATTCTAGATGTCATCAACCTGACCATGGAGGTTAACCATCACAACTACCATGTTAAGAAACCAGAATTACTCTGTACTGAGATTATTAGTAAGGTCAGTATGCATTTAAAGTTTTTTGGTCCTATATTTTTATGTTTACATAAAAAGTAATGGGTTTCATAGTGACATCTTCATAAACATGAATCATTCACTCATTCACTCATTACTCTTCCTGTGCCCCTCCCCCTTTCTGGTTGGTTCTTTTCTGTTTCCATGTCACATGGATTACGTTCTTCAACTCTCTTATCTTTCTTTCTTTTTAATCTTTCTTTTCTTTCTTTCTTTCTTTCTTTATTTATTTATTTATTTACTTTTTCAAGACAGGGTTTCTCTGTGTAACAGCCCTGTCCTGGGCTTGCTTTGTAGACCAGGCTAGTCTCAAACTCAGAGATCTGACTGCCTCTGCCTCCCAAGTCCTGGGATTAAAGGTATGCACCACCAAGCCTGGCCCACGACCTCTATATTTCATGACCTATAAACATATCAATGCAAAAACACACATATACACAAATATTAATCATTTGAGTCTTAAATTTTGCATAAAAGAAAACATTCAGTATTCGTCTGAGTGTATTTTATTCTACCAAACATGACTTCCAGTTGCATCCATTTTTTCTGCAACTATCATGATTTATTCTTTACAGAAAAAAAAATCCATTGTGTCCATGTGTCATCATACCTCTATGCATTTCAACTGCATTTTTGGTTGTGGTTGTTTCTTTTCTAGGTTGGTACTCCTTCCCAGGCTGGCCTCAAACTTATGATCTTCCTGCCTCAGCCTCCAGAGTACTGTGATTTCAGACTTGTGGCCACACCTTGTTTCCATCCTTCAAGTTCTCTAGAAGCTGCTTCTCTTGTCAGTGACCCTCTGCCTTCCTTCTCAAATACCCTTTCCTGTTCTTTCCCAGTTTTCTCATCCATGCACTATCTACAGCATTTTTCTCTTTCTTTTTTTCTTTTTTCTTTATTTCTCCCAACCCCATCTTTTCCTTTCCTATTGGTTGCTTTGTCTTCCTGTCTCTTTCACAAGTCTCTATGCATTCTCTCTGCCAGTGTCATTTCGGTTTCTCCTAAACTGTTGTTCTCTCAACAGAAGCCACATTTCTTCTCCTTTTTCCCATATTTCTCCAGAAGACAAGAATCCGTATCTCATCTCACCACCCTGCACTGCACCCAGAGGTGACTCCCATTCTTGACCCACCCTTTTTCTACCCTTTTCTTTGCTATTTCTATCTCAGATGTTTGTCTAGTTTTCTCTTCTGGAGTACTTGTTTCTTGACACCCACTCCCATCGTTTGAGACTGGGCCGTGCTTTGTATCCCAGGTTTATATGTTCTTCCAGTCTACTGGCTTCTTCCTCTCTGGTGTTAAATGACAATCATGAGTCACATGCCAGGATCTGCTCTTTGTACCAAGAGCCTTTATTTTTGGATATCCCCTGAGATGACCTCTTCTCCCCACTCTCTGCTTCTCTTTCTTCCATGACACTCGGTTCCTCTTGCATATTCCCAAAGACAGCATGGTCTAACCATACATGGATCCTCTGACTTTGATTTCTGAGTTAAGTAGCACTGGTCACCCAGCCTCCATCTTGGCAGAGGATGTTTTCCTATAGCACTCCTGAAGACAGTGACCTCACACCAAATCTTAGGTCTCCACTGTCCCAAGGGAGTATAAAGACCCCAAGGCGGGCTGCAGATTGCTTTAAGCAAGGGACTACAAGGACAACCACAGATTTCTGCTCTACCCTCTGGCTTCGACTGCAGACAAAGAGGTTGCATCTAAGCTTAATAATTTTTTTCCCAAAAGTCAGCCTGTATCCTGGAGGGCTACTCTGAAGGAGAACAAAGTGAAGGCACTAACTGAGGAGCAGGGAGTATCTTCACGCTGTGGTGCTATACAGTCAAGAGTGGACATAAATCTTGATGTGGCAGTGAGAAATCCTGTCAACAGAGTAAGTAATAGACAGGAAGAGCTGTGAAGGGAATTCAAGCTTTGGGGCAGAGAGTTCATCGCTGTTGAAGTTTATTGGTCCTTGGAGCTAAGACTCCCCACAGCCCCAAGCTACAGCCTGGGGGTGGCTCTGGCCAGATGCAGAGTCCACTGCTCCCCCAGGTTCTGTCAAGTTGCTCAAAGGGATAAAGTGAGAGGAACAGATGGGAAACAAATCATCAGTCTTCTTCCTACCTTGAGGTAGGGCCTCCCTGTCTCCCAGAGTTACCAGCCCAGCATCTGGATATCCACAATGCTAGAGGCAACCCCTCAATGTCAGTCCAAGGTTGTCTATGTGGCCCGGGTGTGCCCATTGGTCAGGCATGTTGCTGCCCGGCTCCGTGGTCCATTGGTAATGGCTGTTCCAGACCCTCGAGCCATCCCATTCTTCAGCTGGGGACCTTCAGAAACTGCCTCGTCATCACTGGAGTCTGATTCTTCCACATCACTACGAATGTCCTTGTTCATCTGTGAAAACAGATGGGGCCAGAGCTCAGAACAGAGTGAGGAGCTCTGGGCCAGGGAGGGGTCCTGGGAGCTGCCCCTGTCAGGCCTCCATACCTGACCCTTCCTCAGGAAACTGGAGAGCATGCGCAGGATGAGGCAGAACCAGTACACATGAAGAATCTGTAGCATCACCAGGAGCACATTAAAGAAGTAGTAGCCAAAGAAGGGGCCCGAGTTCTTGATGGAGTCAAACACAGCAGTGTAGATAACCCTAAGTCAGGGAGAGAAAGGAGTTTCAGCAATCAGTATAGCTCCTCGTTCGATGAACTTGTGCAGATTCTGTGCTCCCAAGTCTTCCTGGTTCCCCCATCCTTAGATGGTACCTCTCTTCACCTGCTAATACTAAGACAGTGGAACATAGGAGTTTGTCAACTGGCCTTTCTAAACTACAAACTCCGAGGCAGTACCTAGTGTCCCACAGGCCCTTCTCAGTGACCCTTTATGGTTACCCATCTCTCCTTAGATACACAATGGCTCTTTGCATCAACCTGAGACCTACCTACTCATCTCACAGAGACACCAGAAGCCATCCAGAAACAATGTTCCTGAACCCGCTGTTCCTGTTCTTGCCAGCTATCCCCAGCACAGTCTTTGACCCCAGCTCTGATTAACACCAACTCTTTTGCAAGATCACAGCTCTTGTTTCCTATACACACCCATTACCATCAAAACCAACCCTGCTGCTATTTCATATGCGAGAAATAAAAATCCAGCCACACACCCTTGATCAATCTTTGCCCCCGGCTACTTCATTTCTTTTCCCCTTGAATCTCTTGTGCCTTCTAGGAGTCCACACCTCTCCCTCCTCCCTCCTCCCCATTAATCTCCCTCTTTTGCCTCCTCTTCCTCCTCCTCTCCCTCATCCCTCCTCCACACTCTTCTCCCTTCCTTCTTCCCCCTTCTTTCTTCCCTCTCCCACTCATCTCCCTTCCTCCTCCTCCACACTCATCTCTTTCCCTCTTCCTCATCCACACACCTCCTCTCTCCATCTTCCACATCCTTTTTTCTTTCCTTCTATCTTCTCCATTTTTCTTCTTCCTCTCCGCTTTCCTTTTTATCTTCTTTCTTCCATCTTTTCCTTCATCTTCTCCCTTTACATTCTTTCTCCTTCCTTCTCTCTCTTCCTTCCCACTCCCTGTCCTCATCTCTCTCCCCTCACCAATCCTGTACCTAACAGGCACTAGGCAAACTCTTTACCACTGAGCTCTGCTATACATTTCATAACTTCTCCATCCGTCTCCCACAAATATCAGGGAGCTTCAGGATTGGGCTGGTATCCATACCTTACCCCCAGGTGACACTGTCCAGTCTCCTGCTGCAAATGCCTACAAACTGGCAACTTCTGTATTTATACCCCACTCTTCTGGAAAGCTCAGCTTGACATGCCATTTGCCTCCCCTATGTCTACAAAGGAGCATAGGCTGCTCAAAACCAGCACAAAGCAGCTAGACTCTTGATGCCTCCTGAAGTTTCTCCTAAACCTGACGGTGTCTCCTTAATCTGGTCTCCTCTCACCTGCTCTGGTTCATCTGCCCAACCTCCCAGCATCTGCCTTCAACTCCCCATGGCTCCTACCTCCCTTCAGATAACATCACATAAGATCCTTAATGCCTTGCCCAGGTCACCTACCTGCATTCATCTTATCCTTCTCTCTGTTGCAACCACATGAACTCATTTCTGATCTTCCAATACTGGAACACAGTCTAGCCTCAGTGCCTTAGCATATGCTGTTCCCTCCACATGGATCATCTTCCTCTGTGATCAGTATGATTCCTGAGGCCCATTTATTCTCGATATACAATGGCTATCAGTGAAATGTCCCATAGGAGATATTTATCCAAGGCCAACTACCTACACACCTGCTTCCTGCACTCTCCCAGTTCTACTTCCTCTTCAGTGCTATCGCTGCTCTGTGCAGTTTGCTGCTTGTATGCCTCTCTACCCTTTTGCTCACCCACATCAGTTAGCTCCAGAACAACAGTCGTCTGCGCTGCTCTCTTTGACATTTCTTCACCCTCTGACACATTCTAGGCTCAACAAATATAAAAAAAAATTGACTCGACAATCTTAGCAACTTGGCATTCAGACAGCTTCCTCCTCTCTCTCCCTGTTCTGGGAGTGCACTGAGCTAGTGCTGCACTCAGTTTTCTGTTTCTCTTACCTCTGTGCCTTTGCATATGTTGTGCTCTACAAAAATCCCAGCCAATACCTCCAGTTCACTGAGGTAGGACACCAAGGGTGAGGCCTGCCAGGATCCTGGATACACCCTACCCTCTCCCTAAACCCTCAGGACTTACTGGGTGGGGAAGAATATGAGCCGCGTGTAGAAGAAGATTATGGCGAAGATGATGAAAAGAATATCACACCCTCGCTGAAAGCGGGCATAGTTGAGCATCTTACAACCCTGGGGAGAAAAACAAAGAGAAACAGGCTTAGGACCAAAAACCTATGGAAAGTGATGGATCAGACAAGGGAGACAATAAACTATGAGATGAAGCCAAGTGAACTGAGGTAAGGCCATACATCTAGAACTACCTACAAAGGATAAAGAATGAAAGAGTGGCAGAGACAAGACAGAATATTTCATTTCCAGGGAGACTGGGGAGTGGTACCTCTAGTCCCTGAAGGACTTGGAGGGGTAGGGCCTCATATAAAGGAGTTAGTCGAAGATGGGGACTTCTTGTCCCAGAGAGACCAGGAGGGAACAGGTCTTATGTCTCAGGGAAACTAAATAGGGAGGGTTGAGCTTTCACCTTCCAGAGAGATTGAGTGGGCAGGGCCTTATCGCCCTAGCAGATTAGAAGAGGCAAAGTCTCATCAGATACCCCAGTTGTGGCAGGGCCTCCTCTCCATGGTCAAGAAAATAGTAGGGTTAGCAAGGCAAGTGTAGAGGTGAACTCACCTCCAGCAGGTAGTCGGAGCAGTCATGCAACAACAGTACCACAGAGCCAATTCGGAGCAAGTTGACGCTGTAGGAGAAGACTATCAGTCCCACAGTCACGAAGTGGTGCAACACCTGCTCCTTGAAGTCCTGCAGAAGACACCGGGTCACCACCAAGACAAGCCTCTGTGGCTGGATCACCACATGCCTGGAGCAAGCATTTTCAGAAGATACATAAGGCCTCTAGACCCTCATACCTTCTTTGAAGAATCAAGGACACCTCAGGGTGCATACAATGTTGAAGCCAATTCTTCCCACTTTAGGCCCTGCCCAGAAATTAGAAAGTATCCCTCCCTCAATGGTACCCACACCACCAGCTGGACTCTTGGTTCATAACTCACCTTGCGTTTGATGTCAAAGGGCAGAGTGATTAGCAGTGAAATGTAGAAGCCCAGCTCCAGGAGGTACCACCAGGACAGGGCCAAATTCAGGGTCTACAGCAGAGTAAGGGAAGATTAGCTATGAAATATGGAGGCTCCTACCTGAAAGGGACTTGAATGGAGATTCTCCAAGTTGCTCAAAACCTGGACACTTAAATAATACATGAGCAAAGAATGCACTCCCCATCCCTGGAGGTAATCAAGAACAGTGGTCTAGAGCAGCTCCTGGTCTTATTTTCCTCCCTCTTGACCCCTATTTCTTCCAAAGAAGAATCAAAACTAGAGTTGGGAGTGCAGTGTCCTCACATCCACGAGTCAGAGAAGACTGAGATCTCATGGCCCAGGGAGGCCCCAAGAGGTGGGGCTTCATGGACCAGGGGAGTTGAGGCAAACCATCAAATCCCAGGAGACCAGGAGATACTAGGTATCATAGCCAAAAGAGTTATGGAAAGTTACAAAAACTCAACTTATCTGCCTAGGAGAATAAAGAGGAATGAGGCCTTACATCCCAGAGAGGCTGCGAGAATTAGAGTCTCAAGTACTAAGAATACTAGAAAGACTGGGCCCCCAGTACCGAGGCAGGTTATGAAAGACCAGGCTTCATCACACAGGCATGTAGGAGGGGAAGAGCCTCATAATCAAAGCAGGTAAGAAGGGTAGGGCCTCGTCATACAGGCAATTACTGGGGCTGGGCTCACCAGCTAGACAGCTTGGCTCTTGTGCCTTGACCACAAGAATTGAGTTTCTCCACAGTCCCTGCCACTCACCTGACGTGGGTAATTCTCCCAGCACAATGCCGGTGTCCACAACCATGACTCCTATGAAGGAACAAAGAATCTCAAGCTCTCCAAAGGCAAACATCAGCCTCCTACCCAGGATCTGAATCCCCACTACTAGGGCTTCTACAGACTTCTAGGTGCCAATTCCACTCTTCTCTGCTTTTATTTTATTTTTATATTTATATTTTATATTTTTCACTATGTAGCTCGCATTGCCCTCAAGTTCATGACCCTTCTGCCTTCAACTCCTAAGTGTTAAGTCTGATGATTGGTTTTAATCATCAACTTGACACAATTAAGAATCACCTGGAAAGGTGCTCTCAATGAAGGTTTGTCTATACTATGTTGGTCTGTGGGTGTGCCTATATGAGAGACTTTCTTAATGGGGTTGAGATGGAAAGAACCATCTTCCATGTGGGTAGCACTATTTCATGACGTGGGCCTTAGACTAGATAAAAGAGTGAGCTGAACACTGACATACATGCATGCCTTGCTGTCTATTCCTGATTATGGATGTAACCAACTCCCTCAGGCTACGGCCCCTGCTATGACAGACTGTACCTAGAACCATGAGCTAAAATATAAAATAAATCCTTTCTCCTTTGAGCTGCTTTTGTCAGGATATGTTATTACAGCAACAGAAAACAAAAACTAAGATGGCATGCTCTTTCCTTCACCACAGCTCAGCCCTCCTCTCTCCTCCCTGGTTCCAGCTCTGCCTCCCCATCCTCCCCAGCAGACTCATTCCCTGCAGATGGACAGCTCCTGGTACACAGTAGGTCTTCAGCTAGTCCCCCGTGGATGCTTGCAGGGTAGGGGCCTTCACTTCTGCCCTCGGGTTTACTCACATGGTAGAGGACAGAGATGCCACCCATGAAGGAACACAGGTAGAAGACAAACCTCCAGCTGCAGAAGGGGAGGAAGCTAGTAAGGCAGCTGTCAAAAGAGTAGTGTCCAGGACCCAGAGGTGAAGCCCCATCTGACAGGGAAACTAAAATGGGTGTGGGTCACATCTCAGGGAATCTGGGAAGGGAAGGCCCTCAAGTACCAAGGAGGCTAGGAGGGGGAAGTCCCCTCACCTGGACAGGCTAGGAGAGGCAGGGTTTCATCATCTAGGCAGGCTAGGAAGGATGGGACCTCATCATTTAGACAGACCTTACCATCCCCCCTGAACCCCACAATTACCTGGCTTCACAGAATTTCTTGGACGGGCAAGGCCGATCCTGGTTCCGACGTCTCCTGAACCAGCGTTGAGTCTGCCGCAGCGTGAGTCCACACTGAGAAGCCAGGAGGACCATCTGGGTCTGAGAAGGAAGTAATGAAGGGGAAGGATTGGTTATACAGGCCCAATGCTGGTTTCCTATCCTTTGTCTCTGGTCCCACTTTGATTCCCCACTGAAGCTTAAGATTTTTCCCACAGAGGAAAAAGAGGAGGGGTAAGGTGGTATCTACTTCAGTTCCTGCCTTGACTTCCTGTCTTCACTTCCCTGAGAGATGGACTGTTACCTGAAAGTTTAAGTTGAAAGGAACCCTTTCTTCTCCAGCTTGCATTTGGTGTTTGCACTGCAACAAGCAGCAGAGTAGAACACTACCCTAGGCAGGCATTCATCTCTCTTGATCTATAGAAGCTAATGTGTATCCAGCCAGGGCACACTGCCATCACTTCCACCTTACCCAACAGAACCTGTCCCAGACCAGGCCAATTGGGCTGCCACAGCATGGATGGGAATGGAGGCAGAGCCACAGGGCTGCTTCTGACACTCCAGACACTCCACTGGAACAAAGGCATCTTGCCCCTTCTCACAACTAGGAAGAAACCTACTCTTCAAAATGTGATCCGAGAATCTGTTTGCTGAGTGACCATAAAGTTGATGTTCCAGACTAAGAGATGAGGGCTTCATATGCCAGGAAGCCTCACAGGGGTAGGACCGCATGTCCCAAGAAACCTGCGAGAAGGGAGCAGGGCCTCAAGCCCCAAGAAGCCTAGAGGACAGGGACTCATAACCCAGGAAAGCTAGAATGTCAATTTAAAACTCTGGAGACCCTGAAAAAGGATGAGACCTTCAAGCTTCAGGAAGACTAGGAAAGGCATGGCCTCATGTTCCAGGGAGGCTAAGAAGGGACAATTTCACACCTCAAGACCTTGAAAGTAAGGTTCCTCCAGGTCCCAAGAAGACCAGGAAGGGCAGGGCTGCATACCCAGGAAGCCTGAAAGGGGCAGACACCCTTGGCTCAGGAAGACGAGGGGTATGGCCATGCTTTCAGGAGAGATATGAGGGATGGGGCTTCAAAACCTAGGGAACCTGAGACTAGGAAGAGTAGCCTCATGCTGGGAGAGAAATGGTTTTAAGCCCCACAGAACCTGGGAAGGACGTGACTGGTCCACTAGTCTCTGCACAGCGGTAAGGGGTGGGGTCTCACAAACCAGCAGACAGAGGAGCAGAGCCTCACATACCAGGGAATCTGTGGATTCAAATTGAATGTAGAGTGTGTCAGAGGTCCCTGTGCCACATCTTATAAGGGACACATACCACTGCTATGCCTGGGTCCCAGGGCAATCTCCATGCAGCTATCAAGAGGATATGGGGCTCACCTCCACTGGACTCTGCTTCATCCTGAGGAAGTATTTTTCCAGCACCGGGTTGGGCTTTATCTTTCTCCTGATTGGATCCTGAATACCCATCCACCGGCTCAGGGGCAAGGCCACAAATCTGAGTGTAAGGGAGACAGAACTCAGTAGAACTCAAATGAAGGGGCGTGACTATAACAGGAGGAGAGTGAGAGAACCTGAGGCAAGGCTCATCAATATGTATGGTTCAAATCTATCTGAAAAGAGGGTTTGGAAGCCCAGAGCCAAAATGTCCATATGGGCAGGACAAAATTTTCTGCCACTACTCCCAGACTTAATCCCTCAAGGCCCAAAGGGATCACCTGTATACTGCATCAGACCACACCTAAGAAAAGAGACTAGCTTTGTCTTCAGGAGAGAGATGTTCAGGCCAATTCATTGGGAACCCAGATTCCTTCACCCATCCTCAACCAGAATGAAGTCTTCTCACTACCTGTGTCCTGGAGAGCTGGGTCTTAGTCTCTCTGCATCAGGCTCCTCAGGGGAGGGGCTAGGCATGCTACCTGTTAAGTCTGATACCCCACTATCCTTCCTACAGCAAAGATATCTGGTTAATCAGTCCTCACACTGCCCACAAGAGGGTTCCCCAAGACCACAGATAGAGACTGAACATCAACTCTTTAAGGAAGTCAACCCCTTCCTTAAATCCTGTCTGAACTGAGCTTCCCAGAATTCCTACAGGCCCAGCTGATCTTATACATTGTATATTCTTAGTCATGTTACTAAACCTTTCTGTGTCTCCATTTCTCCTTCTGTAAAATGAGAGTAATAATAGTACCGTGCCATATATTGGCATCAAGCATTGAGTTAAGACACACATATATCTTAGAGCTGCATATGACAGAGAAGAAGCCTTCAAAAAGAAGTTTATGAGGGCTCTGGGGAGATGGTTCAGTAAGAGTATTTACCACACAAGCATTTAGGACATGAGTTCAAATTCCCAACACCAATGCAAAATCATGGGTGTGGCCACATGCCTGCCTGTTACCTCATCTCTCTGGTTTCGGGAGGAAGATAGGAGGATCTCTAGGGCTTGATACCCAGAAGCCTAGCTCCAGGCTCATTCAGGGAACCTACTGAAGGCTCTAAGATAGAGAATGATAAAGAGCATCTTGATGTCCTCTGACCTCTGAATACATACATGTACACCAAATTCACCACACACACACACTCGCACACATTTTTTTTTTAAGTCTATGAAGTAAATATAACTTCAGTGAATGTTCCTTAGGTCCCTGACATCCTGCCTGTGTGCCAAGGGCCAAGAGCTCAGGAACCCCTTGATGAGTGGGAACCACAAACCAAGATGCATTTCTGGTCAGGGACAGGACCTAAAAAGGGATTTCCTGAGATGGCCCAAGGGCTCTGGCCAAATCTGTAGGAGTCCTTAGAACATAGACTCTCTCTCTCCCTCTCTCTCTGTCTCTCTGTCTCTCTGTCTCTCTCTCTCTCTCTCTCTCTCTCTCTCTCTCTCTCTCTCTCTCTGTCTCTCTCTGTCTCTGTCTCTCTGTCTCTCTCTCTGTGTCTCTCTCTCTGTCTCTCTCTGCCTCTCTCTCTCTGTCTCTCTCTCTCTGTCTGTCTCTCTCTCTCTCTTTCTCTCAGTTGTTGTTTGATTTTTGTTTGTTTGGTTTTGGTTTTGGTTTTCAAAGCAGGGTTTCTTTGAGAAACAGCCCTGGCTGTCCCAGAACTCGATTTGTAAACCAGGCTGGCCTCTAACTCAAAGAGATCCTGCCTCTGCCTCCCAAGTACTGGGAGTAAAACCGTGAGCCACCACACCTGTCTCTTTACATGATGTTTTTAAGGTTGATTGATTGGTTGATTGATTTTATGTATGTGAGTACACTGTAGCTGTCCTCAGACACACCAGAAGAGGGCGCTGGATCCCATTACCGACAGCTGTGAGCCACTAAGTAGTTGCTAGGAACTGAACTCAGGACCTCTGGAAGAGAAGTCAGTGCTCTTAACCACTGAGCCATCTCTCCAGCCCCAGATCATTGTCTTAAAAGAACTGCAGAGGTGTAGAGATGTGGCTCCGTCGGCAGAATGCCTGCCTAGCATGTACATAGCCCTGGGTTCCATCCCCTGCACTGTACAAACTGGGAGTGATAGTGGAAGCCTGTCACCCAACACTTAAGAAGTGGTGGCAGGAAAACAAGATGTTCAAGGGACTAGAGAGATGGCTCAGCAGTTAAGAGTACTTGCTGTATTTCCAGAGGACTGTAGCTTATATCTCAGCACCCACATAAGATGTAACCACCTATAACTCCAGGTTCTGGGGATCCGCTCTCTTTGGCCACCTGCACGGCACAGACAGACAGACAGACACACACACACATACACACACACACACCACGGGCACACGCACATGTGCATATAGATGCAGGGCTTCGCCAGGCACAGAATGGCACTCACCTCTCAAAGACGATGCGTACAGCCACCAAGACCAGAGCCACTGGCAAGGCAGCAAGCACGTGGTGAGGGTGGGCAAACACCAGGCCATCCCGGTCTTCCAGCTGTGCCCACGTGACATTGGGTGGTAACCAGTATGTCTCCTGCCACAGCCACTCACTCAAGCTGAACACCATGCTGTGGATACACAATCAAGTAAGCGCAACTCAACTTAGCTCAAAGGGAGTGTACTGTAGGAGGGGCTGAATCTTCAGAGCCCCAGAGCATTCTACTCTGAGGAGAATGGGAGAGTAGAAAAGGGGAATACTGGAGAGATGGTTCAGTGGTTTAGAGCACTGACTGACCTTCCAGAGGATCCACACAGTAGCTAACAACCATCTGCAACCCCAATCCTGAGAGAGCCAATGCCCTCTTCTGACTCCCATACGGCAATGCACCCAGTGTGGTGCACAGACATACATGCAGGCAGAGCATCCGTATACATTCCAGTGGTTTGAATGAAAATAGTTCCTTAGGCTCATATATTTGAATATTTGGTCCCTAGTTGGTGGACTGTTTAAGAAGAGTTTGGAGCTATGGCCTTGTTGGAGGAGGTCTGTCACTGAGAGTTGGCAAAGCCCATTCCAGGCCCAGCGTCTCTCTGCCTACTACCCGCAGGTCAGGATGTAGGCTCGCAGCTCCTGCTTCGGTGCCATTTCTGCCTGCTTGCAGCCGAGCTCCCCAACTTAGTGAGAATGAACTAACCACTCTGAAACTGTAAGCAAGCTCCAATTAAATACCTTCTTTTATAGGTTGTTTTGGCCATAGTGTTTCATCACAGCAATAGAACAGTAACTAAGGCACACTTAAAAATAAATATTTTTTTATAGCCAGGTAAGTAGTATTTCTGGTTTGTCTAAGAAACCATTTCCATGGTTAGATCCTGGAGGTTATGACCTATTCCATGTTTAATCCGTGAAGAGTTCACAGTGCTAGGATGCAGCAAAAAGTAGGAAGAGCCTCTGGCGGTGGCAAGGCATGTCTTTGCAGCTGTGTCTTGCCTGAGCCCTTCTTCTATTGCTTTCTTCTGCTTCCTGGCCACCATGTCTCAAACTGCTCTACTCCGCTACACCCTCCCACCATGCTGTAATGACACTCCTCCAGTAGTAACCCAGAATAAATCGTCTTCCCCTAAAATTGTTTATGATACATGTCTTGTCACAATGATGAGATTGATTAACTGAGGTTTGAAATATGCTTGTATGCTCTTGGTTTTGTTTTCTGAGGAGGTCAAGGTCACCACCCTTGGCTGCACAGTGAGTATGAGGTCATCCTGGGCTATATAAGACCCTAGATCAAAAAGACAAATCAAATTCACAGTGGCAGGAAAGAAATAACAAATCAATAATGAGAACTGTGGGTGTTACTCAGTAGAATACTTGCCTAGAATACAGGAGGGTCAAGTTTAATCCTCAGCGCCCTCTCCCCTCTTCCGTCTTCAAAACACAAAAGCACTTCACGTGCACACTAGCATACACTGTTGTCTACACAAAATGCTATCAACACAAAATTCAAAATTAGGCCAAATAAATCTACGCTGCTGAGGTTGGTTGGCTTCCTGTGGCTACTCTTGCAAACTGGTTGTCTGGCAGTTCTGTATGTAGGTCAATAGCTCCAAATGGATCTCACTGGGACCAAATCAAGGTGCCAAGCTGGCCTCCCCTGGAGGCTCCTGGGAGAATCTGAATATCGCCTTTTCCAGCAACAACACTAAATTCTACATCTGGGCTATGGCCACAGCTCCTGACTAAGGGATTCTAAGCAGCCACTCTTGAGGAAGTAGGATGAAGGGCTGCAGGGTTCCTCAGTTTCCACTTTTCCCTTTAAAACTCATACAACAGATCCCTACTTCACTGAGGTATAGTGAGGACTAGAATGGAGTGGAGGTGGGAACAGGAGGTGATGACTCATCAGTTCATAAACACTCCATCCTGGCTGGTTTAATTCCTGACTCCATCATTTACCAGTTATGTAACTTTGAGAGTAGATGCCTTCTCTCTGTGACTCAGTTTTTCCATCTGTAAAAGGGATCCACAACAGTTCCTTCCTAATGGGAAGAGAAAAATGATGCCTAAAGCATCATGAGTGTGAGTAACAGTGTTGGTAATGATTTGGGGGAGGGAGATGGTTTGAGAAAGACTGAGGGGTCACTGGTATGTGGCAGCCTCTGGATGACTCTTTGTGTTGTGGGCGGTATATGCATACATGGGCAAGTCCATGAGCTCTGCATGGACATGTGGAGCCCAGAGATAGACACTAGGTATCTTCCTAAATTGTTTTCCACTTTATTCTTTGACACAGGGTCTCTCACTGTACCTATAGATTACAAGTTGGCAAGCTCACTGCCCAGTGAGTACCCAGGATGCCCCTGTCTCGAATCCCCAGCATTGGCATCGGAGGCATTTCTGCGAATGTCTTCTTGCTTGCAGAGCAAATGCTTTTACCCATGGGGCAGTGGACGATTTTCTTCTTCATGCTCTACCCCAAGGTCCCCACACCCCTAGTTCTGAGGGTAGAACCCAGAACCTTGGCCAGGCAAATGCTATCCAATAAGACACATACCCAGCTCCTCACTGGTAGATTCTAGGCAGACGATCTGCTACTGAGCCACAACCCCAGCCCTAGACAGCACTCTTCCACTAAGACACGACCCTAGCCCCTCACTGGGGGATTCTAGAAAGGGCCTTTACCACTCAGTCACACTCCCAGATCCACAATGGTAGATTCTAAGCCTGTGCTCTACTGCCAAACCATCCCCCCTCCCAGCCTCTCATTAGAGGATCCTGGGCAGGTCCAGCCCTCCTGGTAGATTCTAGGTAAGGACTCTATAGCTGAGCTATACAATTCCAGATCCTTACTGGCTCATATGCTAGGAGTATATGATCTACTCGTGAGCCACATCCCAACCCTAAGCTTTAAAGGAGAAAATCTTGCCCAGTCTGGCCTCCACTTCCCAAATGCTGAGATAAAGGGCATACATCACCACACCAGGTATAATAAGATTACTATTCTATTTGCAGTGCTAGGATAAGTCCTGTGGCCCCTCAGATGCCAGTCAAGCACTCACCAGTGAACCACCCCCCACGCCACCCCACCCCACCCTCCAGACCCTGGTTTTCAAAGTCAGGGTCTCCCTAAGTAATCCAGGATGTCCTGGCATTCAGAATCCTCCAGCCTCTGCCTCCCCGGTTCTGGGATGGAAGGTATGCATCACCACAGGTTTTCTAGATGAGTCCTAGGCAGTTCCCAGCAGGCTCATGCTGCCTGGAAACCCTCCTGACCTCCATTGTCCTTCCCTTAAATTCTGTGCCTTGTGCTCAAGCTGGGTTAGGCCAGAGCAAAGTACAGGGCAAGTGAATGTGAGGGAGGTCAACCAGAGTCAGTGTGTGGTGCTCCGCCAACAGGTTCAGTCTCGACCTTTGTTATCCTCAAGGCCCTCCTACCCCTGGGTTTCTCCCTCCTCCCTCAGTTTGCCAGCTCTTTGAAGCCCAGCTGGCTCCTCTCCCAGCCAGGCCCCTGCCACCTGGAACTCAGCTGATAATCCCTCTTACTGACTAAAAATATCCCTGTATGTGGGGAGAGAGAGAGAGAGAGACCAGGGCTTTGTGCTGAGGGGCCCAGCTTAGGGACCAGCTAAAGAGAGAGGAAGGGAGGAGGGGAGAAAAGAAAGGCAAAGGAAGTGGAGAGAGGAGCTAAATCTCCTACCCTGTCCTGCCTATGATAAGGGTTGAAGGGTGGGGCTGTGTGTTTTAAGTTTTATCCGAGCTGTTCTGAAAGTCCCATTGTCACCAGCCTAATAGGGTTAAACCCACTCCAAACAAACACTTGGGGCCTTCATTTTGGCAATCAGAGTATTGAAACAATGGACCCCAAGAAACTGGAATTCCCCCCCACTCCACCCCTGCCAGGAACCTCCAGCTGGGAGAGAAGAAAGTCTAAAGCCTGGGCCAACAGAGGAGAACTTTCGCCAGGAACAGGGTTTCACACTGTGCCAACAACTTGTCAGACCACCTCACTGGAGACAGGGAACTCAGACCTGACCACACCTTGACTGAGAAGGCTTAGACATGCATAATTTTGGCCTCTACTTAACCCTTCACCTCCCTATAGGACCCCAAACATAGATTTGGGAGAATCTCTAAATCTCTCTGTCCCACTTCACAAGGTAGCCACACTGACTAAATCTCCTGCTTTTCACTATTAATTTGCCTGTTCTAATTCAATGTGGAAGATAGGTGGCCAAATCTGGCTTGTTGGAGCACAGGCTGTCACCCCAAATCCTATCACGCCAGTACCCCTCATCAACCATCAGAACTTTGCAGGGGGCAAGGACTCCTTTGTTTTGTTTTCTGTCTTCCTGAAAACAAGATTATGGGAAAGGAAATCAACCAGGACCTCACTGGCCCATTCCTCTGCAGGCAGAGAGGCCCAGACCTTAACACATCAGGGGCTCTAACAAGGTGAGGGGAGTGTTTTCGGATTGCTAAAGCCAGTCCTGCACTGGAGTCCTTGCTGTCCTTTCCAAATTGTCCTGGCTCCCCCAGGGCAATCAGGAAGTGCTGATGACCGGACATAAAGTCCAGGATACACCTCACAAAGATCCCAAGGAGGGCTCTAAGGCTAAGGCTGCCTTGCCCCAGCCCCTCAGAGGTTGCCATGCTTCTGCCCTCCCCACTTGGACCCTGATCATCCCCCAGGATGTCAGTAGGAGCACTTGTTGCCAAGTCTCCTCATGATGAGTGAGCCAACTACGTACTGCAAGTTGTCATCTGAGTGCCACATGCATGTGCACACGCACATACACGTTTTCTAAAAACTGTTTTAAATGTCAATACTAGGAGATGGGTGTGGCGTACATCTGTCATCATGGCCCTTGGAAAGCATAGGCAGGAAAAACACAAGTTCCAGGTCAGCTGCTTGGCCTATATTTTGAAAAGAAAGGACCGGGCTATGGCTCAATCGGTAGAGTAATTATCCAGCATTCGAGGGGCTCTAGTTTCCTGCCCCAACACTTCGTAGGAGTGGTGGTGCATGGCTGTAGTCCCTACATTTGGGAGGTGGAGGCAGATGGATCAGAAGTTCAAGAGCACCATTGGTTAAATACAGTTTGAGGGCAGTCCATGCAATATCAGACTTTG